CAGTGGAGCTTAAGAACCGGCCCACTTTTTACAGTGAAGGAATTGCATCTTACAATATCTTAACATAAGGGTCCACATGCATGAGAAACTTACTGCGGGGTTTACAGTTTCAAATATGACTGAACGTCCTGAAAAAACACTGAACGAAACCGGCTAGCAGTAGAGCCGTCCTTGAACAGCCCGGTTAAAAGTGGGAGACAATTTAATTTCGTACTCTTTTTACAATGGGTCTCAGCACCAAGCTTGCCCAAAAACGGTTTGTCTACGTTATATATTTTGTTAAAGCGGTCTTCAACCCGGTTCACTGGAATGTACCTTATCCAGCCTGTCTCGTAGACGCTGACGGGGTGATGCCAGTTGAGAGCGGACGAAAGTGAAACTTACCAGTGACCGATTTGTCTGTCCACCGAGAAGTGTCGCCTTAGATCCGATCATGCATACCATGTCAACGAGTCAAAATCCAATCGCATATCGTTTCCCCGGTAGGCGCCTTCGCTTCTCCTGATGCCCGTTTCAGTACTATACGCCTTGACCTAGTGAATCCTCTCCCATCTTCTAACGGTCCTACCTATCTGCTGACTTGCATTGCTCATTTTACCCGGTGATTGGTTTCCCTGCCAATCTCAAACCTCTGTGCTGAGGCCTTCGCAAAGGCTTTTTCGGCGCATTGGGTGTCTAACATTTCTGTTACTGCGACTCCCACAACTGACAGTGGATCCTATTTGGATTTTACTTTGTTCTGTGAGCTCACTTTTCTTCTCGACATTAATCTGAATCGACTGACGCAGGGCCTCACAAGGCAAGCTTTCCGTCGGTTGATAAAGACGGCCGCCTTTATGGTCCAGCCCGACCTTTCCGGATGATCCGACAATCCGCTTAGTGACGTTATCCCGAAATGACCCAACTCCGCACACAATGCTTCACCTTTTGCCTCTCGCGACTGTTAGTACTTAAGCACCAGTGTCTGCCGACCGCAGTCCCGTCTGGTCCATCACCTTCAAGGTTGACTTACACATGACCTCACTGTGACGACTGCTACG